AAATCAGTGTGGAGACTCCTTAAAAAACTAAGACTGGAAATTCCATTCAAACCTGCTATCCCCCTATTGGGAATTTTCCTGGAGGGACTGAAAGCATCATATCATAGTGATATTTGTGTACCTATCTTTATAGAAGCACAATTTATGATAGCCAAATCTTGGAAACAACTACAATGCCCATCACCTGAGGAATGGTTGAAAAAGATGTGGTATTTTTATACAATGGAGTACTACTCAGCTATAAGGAATGATAAACTCGAAGTCTTTATATATAAGTGGATACCACTTGAAGATATACTCATAAGTGAGAAAACCAGACTCACATGAATAAATATCATATAGTCTCCCTAGTATAAGAACTCAAAGGAAGAAATAAAAATAGAAAGTCATACAGAATTAAAAGGAAGGAGAGAACTTGAAGATTAGTTAATGGGGAGAGGGCAAGGAGAAAAGCTAGAAAACATGACAAGGGCAAAGTCATACATTTATATGCACAAGATGGGAAATGCAATGGTCCTGAGAATCTTCAGCATGTTTTTGAAAACAGCAGTTAATCGGTAGGTCTCTCACCCTGACTATATATGCTGATACCTGTGAACAAATCAACTGCACTGAAGAAAGCAATGTGTAATGGTAGGGTCATGCTTGGAATGTCTGTCATTCTGATCTTCTAATTATGTACTGCTTGTCATGACATACCAATTACAGCCATACTGTCTCTCAAATCAAGGTTTGTTTAAAAAAAATAGTTTTTGTCATAGAAGTGCAGTGCATTTGAGCAAGAAGTTCTACATGTAAGATCTTTTTCCTAGAAACAGATCTATGATCACTAATGTTTAGGTAGAGCAATCATATTTACACACAATCATTTATAATAAAGAAAATATGAAAATGGTCTATTAAAAAAAGGCAATGCATCAGTAAATTCATACATTTTTTGTAACTGAACACTGCAACATCTAAGAAGTCACAATGTAGGAGAATTACATGGAATAAATATTAATAT